GAAATGGTTAACGTCAGTGAAAGCCAGTGTTAATTGGTGCTGTCAGTTTTCAGTGCTTAAGATAAAATTCTCCGTATCTTAAACCTCAAACTACTAGTACATAATTTTGCTTTTATCGAGTATACATATTTAATGCTTCGCTCATGTTTTGCGAGCCATTTTTTAAAGTCTTTGGTAAATTCTCAAGCAGGGGACGTCTCTCGTCAAACCTCTGGTGTAACATTTAGTGTGTCTGTCCTCTGTGTAACAGTCTTTGTATTCACGTCACCACATCCTTTCCTTTCCCTTCCTGTCCCTTTTTTTAGAATGATGTAAAGGGGTTGCAATCCCTCGGTGTAAAATTGATAAGTTAATTACTTTGCATTGAGGTCATGCTGACTCGAAAAGACTTAGAAACTGTGAGGCAGAATGTCCTTTGGATTTTTGGGCTACTTTAAGCCACACTAGAAATTAGTCATTACCATTACGTTTAGTCATTACTGTAATAAGAATGCAAACAGCAGCAGCTATCATCGAAAACCTCTGTAGAGGGTATGTGAGGGACCACCCCTAACGTCTTTTGGAGCCCATCCCCAAGCAAACAAAACCAAAAAAACATTTTCCTCTCTGTAATGTGTAGACGTGGTTATGATGAATAGAAACACCTCATTGGTTGAAAGCAGGGCCTTGAGCGACCCGCTTTTCACAAGGCAGTGGTGCCGCTGTTGAATAATAAAGCGAACATCTCTGAAAGGGAATGAAGAGGAAGAAGAAAGAGCATGTGCCTGTCAAAAACGCACTTGTTAGCGGCATTGCGCATTAGCATTTCTTTCTCCCCCAGCTCTACTTCTTTTGGACTGAAAACCCCTGCATTGCACCAAGTGGAGGGGAAATTCCTGCTGTGTAACACTGTCTGTGCCTCTTTTCTCTTCCATCCCTTCTAACCATCTGTTAGACCAAGCGAACTGTTGCCTTTTGTTGACAAATTTCATCCACTTTTTCCATATTGCACACGCACACAGTGGAGCCATAGTCATTGTTCGGAGGAAAGAATCTATTTTGCAGCATTTTCCACCGTGCCCCAAATGCCAAGACGTTTTGTGTCTGAATTTGGCATAGCTAATACCAGATAGCAGCCATCTCGAAAGAGAAGTTTTGTCTCTACTTTTGTCCATTTTTGCCTGTATGGAAATCTGACAAATTGTCCCTGTGGAATTATAAGATTCTATCTGACATTTTTGTCAGAATTAGTTTTCGAGTTATTTAAATATTCTTATTCTGTGACAACATTATGTGAGGTGTTTTTTGAATTAATATGCATTTTTGGACTCTACAAAACAAAAAACTCCAAAGTCAAACTCTATAAGGTTCTATTTGTAACAACAATCTTGCCTCTCCAAAGGTAGAGTGGGGAAACAATGGCTCTATTTCTCTTCATTACTTCCATGTTTTAGCTCAATTATGAAAATATATGATTTTATACATACCTGTTTATGGTGAAATTTGGTGGGAAGATGTTAGATTGGATAAAGTTTACATTGCTCAGGCAGGAATACACAGTTTAAATCATACAGAGCTCCAAGGTGAATTACTGTGGTGGTAGCTGCACTGCAAAAATAATGTCTTGGCAAGTGAAGTTGTCTTAAATCTAGCCAATGTATCTAATATTTCTCATTTTATGACTGTTGTAAGCTTAGAATAAGATTATTTCACTTATCTCTGGACATTTTTTGCTTGTTTTAAGTGATTTTATTACATGAAATTATCTCACTGTATTGGCAGATAATTTTGTTTTGCGAAATTTTATCAGCTCCACTTACTATAAAGGTGCACTTTGTAGTTCTACAGTTACAGACTGTAGTCCATCTGTTTCTCTGCATACTTTGTTAGCCCCCTCTTACCCTGTTCTCCAGTGGTCAGGACCCCCATGGACCCTCACAGAGCAGGTACTATTTGGGTGGTGGGTCATTCTCAGCACTGCAGTAACATTGACGTGGTGGTGGTGTGTTAGTGTGTGTTGCGCTGGTCTGAGTGGATCAGACACAGCAGTGCTGCTGGAGTTTTTAAACACTGTGTCCACTCACTGTCCACTCCATTAGACACTCCTACCTTGTCAGTCCACCTTGTAGATGTAAAGTCAGAGATGATAGCTCATCTGCTGCTGCACAGTTTGTGTTGGTCATCCTCTAGTCCTTCATCAGTGGTCACAGGACGCTGCCCACAGGATGCTGTTGGCTGGATATTTTTGGTTGGTGGACTATTCTCAGTCCAGCAGTGACACTGAGGTGTTTAAAAACTCCAGCAGCACTGCTGTGTCTGATCCACTCAAACCAGCGCAACACACACTAACACACCACCACGTCAGTGTTACAGCAGTGCTGAGAATGATCCACCACCCAAATAGTACCTGCTCTGTGAGGGTCCATGGGGGTCCTGACCACTGGAGAACAGGGTAAGAGGGGGCTAACAAAGTATGCAGAGAAACAGATGGACTACAGTCTGTAACTGTAGAACTACAAAGTGCACCTATATAGTAAGTGGAGCTGATAAAATGGACAATGAGCGTAGAAACACGGAGGTGGTCATAATGTTATGCCTGATTGGTGTATATAACAGTGCCCTAAAGCTCATTTCTTTTAAACATATCTTGGTTGATTGACTGCCTTTGGGGCAAGAAGAAAATTGTGTACATTTTTTTTTCATTGAAATATTCCTTTAATACAGCTAAAGAAGAACCTAGACTGTGGTAATGACTTTGTTCTGCAAACGGTGATGGAGGTGGTCGAGCTGAGAATGTTCTAAGCGTGTTGTTTAGTAAAGATGAGGGAGTTTCTTTAATTGTTTGCTCCTCATGCTATTTGCATTCATTGTCTTCAGGCTGGCCATTCTTTTACGGTTTCCATCTGGCAGATTAGTTCAATAATGAGTTCAGTCACTCACTGTGAACAGCAGCGAAGAGAGCCGCAGTTGTGATTAGCTCGGTCGAACGGCCCAGATGTGCGCACATGATCTCAGAGTGTAGAGAGAATGAACTGCACTGTAACATGTTGCAGGGTAACCAGTGAGCCGTAGCATATCGAACATGAATTTCCGTGTCAGCTGTCAGCTCAAGTGTTTCCTGTACATCTGGACTTCAACAACAGTAACTACTTTACAAATATAGCACTGCAACCTGCGCACTGAAACTGTGCCTATTCACAAAATAGTGTGAGTCCAGTGTGACATTTGAAGTTGTATCCAAATGCAAATTATTCCTAAGTGGACCACAATAGGTAATGTATGAACTATGTGCTAAAGATTCAGCATCTTTTTGTTCCCAGTACCTTTTCTGATATTTAAATTGATCAGCTAATAGCAAGCACTGATTGGATTCAGTGCTCTGTTAAGGCACTCATGTTTCATAGTGCTGGAGAACATAATCCCGCAGTAAGCAGTAGAGGCCAACATACCAAAGTGGACACAATCATGCAGAAAAATGTATTTTTAGGATTGTACAAATTTATATGTTGTGGGGAATAGTAATAGTGGAACATTTTTGTTCCTATAATAATATAACATTATATTGAATTTAATTCTAAGGGAATATAACAGTGTAAACTATTGTGTTGTTTTAAAGAGTATCATATTGTGTCGAATTGTTGTATCATGACTAGCATGTTAGCTTGTGGCTAGTGTCTAAGCTTGGGGCTAACATGTTAGCTTATGGCTAAAGCATTAATTAGGGACTTTTGTTTCAAATATTGTATTATATTTTGAGCCAGTTCTTCTTTTGCTGTATCGAAAAATGGTTTATTAGGACAACACTGTATTGTATCATATTGTATTGATTCTTGAATTTTGTTCATCGTTGCACCCCTAGTCCTATGTGGTGCCTCTGATTTTTCATTGTAAAAGCAGTGATTAAAGGGCCTGTATAATTTTTGTAAACACTGTTACAGATTAAAAGTGTACCACTTCCTCACCAGTCCACACATATCACATATGAGCCTTTAGCCCCACCCATTCTCACTGAAGTTATACGGAGTGTTTCAGCAGAAGCCATTTACATGTATAAGTCTTAAATGTACAGTAACAAAATGTGTATTTCAAAGGGATAAATAAAGCTTGTGAAATGGTCATGTAAAAATTAATTTGTTGAGTGTTTTTTGGTATAGAAAATAAAAAATACACAAACATTATAAGTGAACCTATTCAAGAAATATGTAGCATATGTGCCCTTTAAGGAGTCTCAGTCACACTGTGTGTGTGTCTGAGGTCACAGGCTAACAATCGCAAAGCATCTGGGCTACAGCACGCTAGACCAGAGGTTGGCGACCCAAATGTTAAGAAAAGCCTGTTTGTCCTTCCAACATAAATCAAACCACCTTGGGAGCCACAACATTTTATGTCCATTTTACCATCTTGGGTGTAAATATGACTCAGTATGTGCTAAAGTACTAGTATTGGATAAAAATGTATAATATAACGAAAACGCAGACTTACTTCGCTTTAAGCTTTAGCTCAGCTATAGCCGCTTTTCCTCGCATCTCCAGCAGGAAACTTTTCCCCAAAAAAGAAAAAGTTCCTTGTAAAATGTCTCTCAACATTTTTTATGGGGCTGAATTCAGCTTCTCATTCTCCAGCTTCTTGTTTGAATTTTCTCGTTCCAACCTTCAGGGTTAAGCTTAAGCTTTATTCTACTGCAAAGGAGGATTATTTCATGTTTACTTACGTATCTAATTCTGCTGTGGAGCCACAACAGGGCATTAACAGTGTAGCTCTGGAGCCGCATGTTGCCCCTGCTCTAGACAAACAGTTGCAAAACCTTTCTGTATGGAAACCTGTGTTTACTATGAGGCCTGCACTGTTGCGGCAGTGGGAGCAGCTCAGGGCGTTTACCGCTGCTGCTGGACGCTCAGTGAAGGAGCAGGCTGGTCCACAGTGGATGCATTGTTGCTGTTTTCATGCAAGCCGATGAAGCTGGTTATGTAATATTCTGCGACCTCCTCACACTGACTCTGTTTTTTCCCCTGTCATTGCAGATCTCGTCATCCGGGTGGCGAAAGATAAATTCGGAGCCATCAAGTCAGAGTACCAGAAGGTAAGAGGGTGTTGAGCCTGCTTGTGACCATACAGGTGACTCCTGGTGATCAACCAGCATATTTAAGCGGAGAAGACATTGTCTCCCCATATCTGTTCTCCAACTAGCTGTTAATTCCTTGTGAAAGCCGAGGAGAGCGGCTTTCCCCCTCCATTATACCATTGTGGCGGAAGAGCTGCTAATTGCTGTTGGCATCAGCTCCCATTCCAAGCGCAGGAAGCAACCATTTGTTATAATTTAGTAACATACTTTAATTAAGCAGCATCTCTTCTTTTGAAGTTGGGGTCTCCTTTTATGGAAGAGATGAGAGGTGTTGGAGAAAACCCCTTGATAATAAACCAAAACATGACTCAGGCTGTGTAGGGCCAAGGTTGAGCCTCAGGCTGAACGTTGCCTTGAAGATGTGCAAACTTGTCTGTACACCTTCATTTTGTCCCGTTCTGGCTAGGGCTGCAACAAATATTTTAAAAATCTGATGCGTTATTTCATTAAAATACTTAAAAAATAGTAAAATAGTTTGTTTTTGGTGCACTTTTAGGAAACCAGACATGAACAAAGTATGTGTTACTAATTTCTAGCTGATTTACAGCTTTTCTTTGAAATGGCAACATCTGTCTTAACATCAGGTACAACACGAATGAGGTTTGATAGCAAATTTAGCAGCAGACATCATCTTCAAGCTGATTGTGGTGTTAAGACCACTGAATTTAGTGGGTCCTCTGGTTGAAAGCAGTTTTTGAACAGCTTAAAAACTTTGATCCAGAGCCTCACGATCCAACTCGAACTCCCTTTAAATGACTCACGACTTGACTCGGACTCTAGACTTAATACAAGAACAGCACGGATTAGTGTAGAAGCACCAGTATTATGGCGGTAAATTAGTAGTCTTTTTCTATGCTCATCATACAACTGTGTCCTGATGGTTTCTGGACACAATTAGTATCAGAGCCATCAGTCAACAACTCTGGGAAAAACCTCAAAAGGCAAAGGTAGATATGGATGCGCCTGAATTTTTGTCTCTATATTCGTAAATAAACGTAATAAAGCTAGCACACAGCAGAATTAAAATCAGTGACAAGTTTTACACTTAACCTCAAAGGCTTGCAGGAGAATGAAAACATGCTAACGTGCTAACATGCTAACTCTACCTGAGGGTCCTGAGGAAGCGAAATCAGCACGGGGATGTGAGATTGTGACGCCGTTCCCTTTTGCAGCGCGTTAAGTTGGATATGGCTTCAAATAATTAGACTTTCATTCCAGAAAAACCTTCACTGTGATGGACAGAGTGAAGGAAAGAGGGAAAAGGGCTTGAAGCGGATGGTTAGCATGGAGCTTGGATTCAGTATTCTGTCTAGCACAACAGCTGAGCTAAACTAGCTGAAGTTTTTGCCAATTACTGATCACATTTCTTTAAAACTTACTAACTCTTACAAAACTTTAGCCGGGTTAGCGGTTATGCTAGCTGTCTAGCATAGTTATTATACAAACTACAGGCTAAACAACTGTTTGAAGCAGTTTTGCCTCTTTCCTTTAAACGCTGAGTTTACTATGTGTAGGGCCTGAGTTCTGTCCTTTAAACTAAAGGCTTGTCTATAATAAAAGGCTCATTATTTGAAGCTGTGTCAGTCCTGACAGGTTTTTATTAGGGGTTAAATCTGTACACTACAGTGCCTGCAGACAATAATGAGATTGAACTAAAATCCTCTACTAAAGACTCGAGACTCAACTCGCGATTTGTGAACATCTTTGCGTCGATCGAGCAGAATCTGAAACATATCACTCCACTTACCCATTTAGAAGAGCTAAACTAAATAGGTTCAGTTTTTATTAAAATGATTGTTATATATACTGTTTCTTCTGCTCTGCTACCCCGATAATCGCTGATGCTTTAAAGAGCAAAACTTTGTTCGGTGTTCCAAGAAAAGCATTCAGCAAATAGTTTATCTTCTATTAGTTTCTCAAATAACCCATTTAATCCCAAATTTTTCCCAGCTTTATGAGCAGATAAATTAGGACAGCCTGATCACACAAACTGTATGCCTTTTCAGCAAATGTTTTGGAAAAGTTAACGAAAATGTCAATTTTATTCTTGGTGACAAGTGTGTCAGAATTTCAGTCATGGTTGTGACTGGTGGGATTAAATGAGTTCAAATTTATTCGGAATAATTAATAAATTTACATGATGGAACAAAAATAAGCAAATTGATAACAGCAATAATAAATAATAAGCTTTTGTTAGTCATTAAAATGACATGCGTCTTCACACTGGTCAAATTTTTATAGAATATTCCAGTTGAAAAAAGTAAAAATTCCACGATTGTTCCACATGAAAATTCCATGTGAAAATAGTCCACGATTGCAGCCCTAGTTCTGTTTAATGAAGAGATTCCTCTGTAACCATCACCCATTCTCTTTGGTTTTTCATTGCCTTGATACACTTAAGAATGTGGAGTGCTGGATATGCCAGCCAGATCTAATTAGATCTTGCCAGATTGTTGGTTCTGAGCCCAGCGGAGGAATACAATGTCTTGTTCCTAGTTCTTAAGTGCGTTGATGCCTTTTATTTGCCTGTTGCTTTTTTCTGACCATCTGTTGTGCTCTTCTCCCCTCCCTGTGTTCTTTTTGTCTTTTTTGCTTTTTCTGCATGCTTCTCATCACCTGGCTATCCCCAGCCAGAGAACATTGTTCTGACACTGCAGGTAAAGTGTGCACTGAGCTGGCTCCCTTATCATCCCTTAACTGACCCTAACTTTATAACCCCACTTTCTTCCTCAGTCAACATGGCCTGCCCTTTAGCTCCTCATGCAGTTTTCCTTGTAAGGCCTTTTCTGAAAGGAATACTTTGGCTAAAAATCAAATTTGCATGATTTTTCACTTACTGTAAAAGCAGTCGATCAGCCAAGACATGTTTAGTGTCTGAATTTAGTTTCTTTAGTTTGGAGTTGGAGCTGTTAGGCTAACACTGATAACACTGGAAGTCAGTAGTTTCCGTAAGCGCATGCCTAAAACGGCTCTCAACCAGTCAAATCACAGCCAGGTCATAGTTCAGCCTGCACAGACAAGTTGATGTGGTTTAGAGCACAGGATGACTTACTATGAACTATAAAAATAAAAAAACGGCTCAGCCATTTTGGATAAATGGAATCACCTCTTTCCTTTGTATCATTCCACGCCAGATGACCAAAAAATCTAGTCAAGAGGCTAAATTTCTTTGTTCTGTTTATGTAAAATGGAACGCAACACCTCAGTTTTGTAGGTTTATCGTTATTTGATATGCAGCTCTTACAGTAAGCAAACCTCAGGAATTACTACGACTAGAAAGTGAGGCGTTGCGAAGATAATAATGTAGTTTCGATTTAAGCTTAAATGTGTGAAAAAGGTCTGTCTATGCCATTTTAATGTCTTCTGTTAACCTTTTAAACTACTTCGTCATATTCTTCATAACTTTCATATTTCATAAGCTACATTCAAAAAATGGGTGTCATATGAGAGCTTCTTTCCAGTTTTCTTTCTACTGAAAGTCGACCCAATTTTCCACAAATCTGGGCTATAAACTATAAACAGATGGCGTCTCTTCAGTGATCTGCTCTGTAAAAATTATTTTTATAAAATACAAAGAGTGTCTAAGATTTTTGGCTTTCAGCAGTAAATTGTAAGCATATGGCAATATGTGTATGATCATAAAACATTTTCTGTTCATTTGAGGGAAATAAAAATGTACATTTATTTCATGCAGTTACTGAGTAATTTGCCTTTTGATTTGGTCATGTAAATTCAGATGGAAAAACCAATATATACCCACGAGCATAAGAGGTTGAACAGGTTTATGTAGCTCATCAGCATGAACTGAAGCAAATATATGAAGATTTTGTTGTCGAAACAGTTTGGGTGACTACTGACTTCTAGTGTGTGTTAGCACCATTAGCCTAGCAGCTCTAGTTCTAAACTAAAGAAGCAAAATTTGTATCCCAAACATGTCTTGGCTGATCATCTACATTTGCGGTGAGTGGAAAATCCTGTTAATTCAATTTTTCACCAAAGTATTCCTTTGAAGGAATACACCAGTATTTTTTAGTCTAACTGTTGTATCTGTAGCATATGGTTCATTAGCATGTACAGTAATTTTGACTTGTTTTCCTGTAGTTCGTTAAATGAGTTTAGTCAAAACCTGTTGATTCAAAATAGGCGTACAGTAGAAGCCAATGTGCAAGTGCTATTATTGATGTTTTTGACTCAACCGTATGCTACCGATACCTCAATCAGAGATTAGACTGAAAAACACTGAAGTGTTTGTTTTATGTTTCCATTTCTTCAATACAAGACAATGTTCAATTATGTAATAATGCTGTCTGTGTTGTTGTGATTATATGTAGTCATATATACGTCATAAATGTAGTCAGAAACCAATATGAATACTACAGTTGTGTTTACTGGATGTGGGCCTAGGAAACATAAAATCTTCAGTGTTATAAAAGGTTAATACATGTTTGTAATTCAGATGCTCCTGAGATTTCCCATCGCTATTTTTAGCTCAGCCATTCCAGAGCCTCTGACCTGAAAAAGCCCACCAGATCTATTGAGTTACAGGGAGTTTCAGAGGCGACAGCTCAATCACTGCATTGAGTTCCCTCAGCACTTCTCGCTGTAATCCCAGCCAGTCAAGCTCACAGTCAGACTAAAGCCGGTCCGTGCTGATGAGAGCTGAAAGGCTCAGGTAATGCTCTCTGGCTAGAGACTGGATTGAGGTTGCAAGTGAGAGCTACAGATTTAGTTTCATGATTTGGGGAAGATTTAGAAGTTCAAGAGCTTAAAACTATCCTTTATTCTGAATTCTGCCCTGCAAATCTTTGAATGTTGATAATTGGTTATGAGAAAGTGTCCTTCAGATAATTGGTGACTTGGTGACCTAGAGGGGAGTCAGCAACCAAGTGGTTGTGAGTTCAAATCCCAGGATTGACTAGGTATTCTTAGTTGTTCCCTTGGGCAAGACGCTTAGTCCTCACTGCCTCAGGGGATGCTGCTCTGCTTGCGATGCTGTGCTGTTCCCAGACTGAACATAGTTTCGTAGAAAAATAACCAGTCTCCCCTGTGAGTACATGAATTAAAAATAACTTAGATTGTTGGCCAAGGTCAGTATTCTCTGAAACCATATCAAATATGATGAGAGTGGATAGTCCAGTTTGTAGAAGATGTGTAATCTCTGTAGGCTGATCATTTGTAGTTCATCATACATATTATTGAGTTACACTGTGTTGCCACTTTGTTAGGTACACCTACCAAATACCTACACTCATTGTTCAGTTTGATCAGGTACACTTACCGTATAGATTAGGCTTGGGCCATAATTGATATTATTGAATATTGCGATAATTCAAATATTATGCAAATTATCATTCTTACGTTCCCTTTTTCTGTGTCCCCATGTTTTTACTGCTTTGCCTGTATTGAATAATTCCTTTAGTACAGTAAGTCTATTTTATACTAGAAAATGTATGTAATAAAAAAATGCAATTAATCATTGGCTATACAAACAGATCATCATCAATTAATTCATTACACTTTTACACACTTTTACCACTTAGAATAATTATAAAGTGGATTTTCCAACTGTTAAAGACTGCTGGGAAATATGCAAATAATGAAACAGAAACATGAGATCTACTCTTTGGTACAGAGTGCAGTGTACAGGCATGTTCCAAAGAAGGGTCCCAGATTCCACACAAACGAACACAGAGAACCACTAGATATTAACGATGTTACATGCCATCCGCGGAGAATGTAGTTATTACTATAAATTATTAAGTAATATTACGGCAGGCTACTTAGTAATTATATGGCAGTTATATTACCATCATGGAAATGCTCACATGTGGCCCTTCATTGTTTATCACAGTAATTCTTCAGACCAAGATATTGCCCAAGCTTAACATTTATCCTGTTCAACAGTGGAAAGGGACCACCATAGAACCACCACTGACCAGATATTATTTGAATGCTGGACCAGTCTCAGCACTGCAGTGATGCTAACATTGCCGTAGGGAGTCAGGGTACAGCAGTATTGTCACTGCTGGGTTGAGAATAGAAAATATCCAGTTCACAGTGGCCCTGTGGAGACCACTATTGGAGGGCTAGAGGGTGACTAACACAAGTTGTGCCTGGAAAGGATGAGCTGTTATAGTCTCTGACTCTACACTTACAAGATGTACCAGCAAGGTGCCTAATAAAGGGCCCAGTAAGTGTACAGTTTATAAAAAAAACCTGCAGCACTGCTGTCAGTGTGGCAGTAATGCCAGATTCACTGTTAAACGTCTTAGGAGTTTGTTTACTCCGACTCCAAAAGTTAGCTTCCAAATGCGACAGGCCCGAGGGCGATGGGGCTTTATGAGAGTGTGAAACATACAAATCAGTTTCTAGGAGCAGAAGCAGGGAAACACTGTGTTCAACAGAAAGCTGGCTTTTATAATACAGCTTAAACCCAGACTGGAGCCGAGAGACCAGCCTGGAGAGTGGTGTCTGCTGAGGGTCAGCTTATTCACAACAGCAGATTATAGTGCATGGATAAGCAGTTAGCTTTGGACCATTGCATATGGAGAAACCATTTAACAGCACTGTGACATTTTATATACAGTGTAAAAATGTTTGCAGTCTTCTTAAACTCTCAGAAAAATAAACTGTATCTTTTAGGGTACAAACGCTGCCACTGGGGTGGTACATTCGAGGATATGTCTTTAGTACCTTTAGTTAGTGAATATACACCATATTCTGTGGTCATTTCTTATATTTAATTAGGAAAATTGATAAAAGTGCCCTTTTCTTTGGGGAAAGTGACTGCAGTGTACCTTTAAAACTCTTTTAAGGTACACACTTAGAGCTTAAGGGCCATATTGTACCTGAGAGTACATTTACATTGTTAGTACCTTGAGAGATTAAAATTTACCTGGACAGTAGTCTTTTAGACAGTGTATTGAGTGCATTTACAATATGATAAAGACAAGGGTACATGTGAGAGGCCACTGTACTCGCATAACTCTCATTTTTAAACTCAATAAGAGGATATAAAACAGATGCAGGGAAAGTAGCAGTACCCCATTTCACTACTGATTTTAACAAGCCCTCATCCACTTGGCCTCATCATTTCCCCTTGAGAGAATCCCCAGCGACATCTTAAGAGCCGTTCCGTTACTTAATTAGTTCAAGTGAAGGGTGTTAAATGAGTCTTCGGAGGGGTGAGGGATCGAGCGAACACCAGTGTCGACTTCAGTAGCAGAACTTGCCCAGAAATCATTGTTATCCCAACACGTTTCCCTTTTCAAACCCAAAAATTACAGCAAACAAAGCTGTTCATAAGCTATAACAATAAACTACAGTTCTTCAGGGGTTCTGTAGTAAAGAAAATGGTCCTATAGAATGTGCTGTAGATGGTTCTGTATAGAACCTTTTTGGAAAGGGCTCTATATAGCACTCAAAATGGTTCTATTGTAAGGATGTCAAGCTTGTAACAATAGAAGAACCCTATTGCTATATTGAGCCCAATTGAATCGATTGATCGATTAGTTGTCAACTATTAAATTCATTGCCAAATATTTTGGTAATCGATTAATCGGTTTGCGTGATTAAGAAGAAAAAAAAGGAACATTTCTTTGATTCCTGCTTCTTAAATTGAAATATTTTCTGGTTTCTTTACTCCTCTGTGACACCAAACTGAGTATTTTTGTGGTGGAAACACGTTTGAAAACACTGGAAAACACTGACCAACATTTTTCACCATTTTCTGGCATTTTATACACCAAACAACTAATCGAATAATTGAGAAAATAATCAATGTAGAACCATTTTGTTTATGAAAGAACTCTTGAAGCACCATGTTTTTTGAGTGTACCTTAAAATGCTTTCATTTCCAAACCATAACATTTAATTTGCTGGGCTTTAGGTTACAGATTACTCTGTTACACATGAATGCTGATAAAACTACATCTCTTTCCTCTGCTAGCTGGTTTGTTAGCATGCCAAAGGCTACATGGCAAACAAGAGCAAAAGAAAGACATTACACCACAATTCTGCTCCAAGTTTATAGCCAGACTATTCACACACATTATGTGCGTTATACTCAAACCTCTTAAGAGTTTTGCATTACAAAGTTTGCCCAGCTAGCCAATTAGCTCACTGGGGCTAATCTACTGAGGACGAGAGCATTCCGTTTGAATAATCCGCTCCTCATTGTCCCCTCTTACCACTTGTGTAACATGGGGCAAGCAAAAAAAAAAAAAATTAAAACAGGGCTCAAATGTACTGATGCACATATATTCACTTGTTCTAGGTTAGATTTGTTCAAGTCATGTTCAGAGATTTGATAGAATGGATAGCATAGTGGATAACACCACTACCCCGACACAGAGGATCACAGGTTTTATTCCTTATGCTGCATCAGCAGTAAGAGTCTTCAGGCAGAGCTGCTAACTCTACATTCACCCACCATTGTAATGCATTTAGCTGTGTGATAGCTATATAAAATGAACTAATAACCAATCTTTACAGTTAACTGTATGTTCACTGCACATCATATATGGATTACAGTGTGAAAAATGCAAAAAAAAAGTAATCGGCCACAACAAGATTTGAATGATCAGTCATTATTATCAGCACAGAAATTCCATATCAGTGCATCCCTGATCAGAACAATTTGAAAATAAAGTTAAAAATCTTTCTGGTGCCTCTTATGTTTTTATCATTGGACTGACCCCTAAAATCCTACCTCTTCCACCTCTGTCATTAGTTCTGTCCATATTAGGTCTAACTCTATCCCCAGTGGCCCTTCATCCCTCCCTGTCATGTATAGCAATGGAGGATGTGTTTTAAAATCACCCGAAACATAGTCTGCAATGCAAACGTAAAATATAACGTGGAGTGTCCGGCTGCTGGGTGTGGTGTGTGCAGGTGATTTACTATGAGATCGGTTTTGTGGTGTGTGCGGCGCTGGGACTGCTGTTCGTCGTGCTGCTGCCACTGGTGGGCCTGCTATTCTGCATGTGCCGCTGCTGCGATAACTGTGGAGGGGAGATGCACCAGAGACAGAGGAAGAACGCCGACTGCCAGAGAGGACTGCTCACCACACTCCTCCTCACCACCACCTTCGTCATCACGTAAGTGTTTGTGTGCGAACTCTTTTTTCACACATTTTCGTGATAAACATGTCCTGAGAATAATGGGTAAACTATAAAATTGTCATGACATTGTAACCTGGTCTAGGGTAAAACATTTGCTATGCTTCTCTTTCTACAGTTTTCAAGCTAGAACCACAAAACTTGCAACGTTCATACAGACACAGTTTCTTTGCATAAGAATGAATGGTGAAATGCTCAACTTCCTGAAACATAAGTTATCCCACGTATGTTATATATAATGCTTATATCTATACCTCTTATTCCACCAAAGTCAGACACCCTAGATCCAAATGTTTTTGGATGCTCCTCTTATGTCACCATAATACAAGTATTCTAAAACCTCAGAAACCACCTAGGATGCCATAGCAACGGCCTAGCAACACCTTAGCAACCAGCTGGGATACCGTAGCAACAGCCTACCAACACCATAGCCTCCAGCTGGGATAGCATAGCAACAGCGTAGCAACATGTTAGCAACCACCTAACAACAACCACAAAACTACCTGGAATTACTGTATAAACCCCATTAGGTTTTCACATCAAATCATTTCGAATGTCTCAATGATTAAATTATGCAGACTTTATTTACTGTAAGTTTAGGGTTTCACTTAGAAAGTCAGCAAAACATGTCACATTACAAACATTTGCATATGACTGTATGTAATACAAATTAAATAAGTGAAAACAAGTACACATCGTAAAAGAGAACTTCACATTTTAATGCACAGGTACTGTTTATTTAATTTGACACACTGGGGAAAAAAAAACGTTAAATGTGGTCAGTGCAAACGTTATGACACATTTAGTATTTTATGTTTTTTTCCAGTATGTTAAAGGCACCAAATAAACATTGTGCTCTAAAAATGTGCAGAAAAATGCCTTATTTAAAGTTTGGTCTCTGTAGAGGATATACTAACTCATTTTTATTTAGAAATTCAACAAAACATGTAATTTGACTGGGTGTATTCACATTTTTGAATATGATTTTATTGATACTTATGTAGATGTAGATGTAGACACAGTTTGCGTTACATTTCAAGCAGTTCCCAAAATGGGCTCAACCACTGACGTGCCTAAAAAAGACTTACTGAGCTTGGCTAATCTTTCTGTCTCTCTGTCTTGTATCTGTTTATTGGTTTGCCTGTCGGTCTCGCAGTCTGTGCCTCCAACTTTTTTCCATTTGTTTAAATGACAAGATATGAGAAGAATTTCTGCAGGATTTCACACAAAATCCACAACAAAACTTCGTCATCAAACTCAAATTATAATGCAGCATCTCATCTTCTGTTTATTCTGTTTGAAAGTTTAGAATCTCTTTCTTTTAAAGAATTTCACCTCTTGTGTCAATGAGCTACGATTGACAAGAAATTCATATCAGATTACGACATGCTTTTGTTGTCACCAGCAATAACTGAAAGGTCACCTTCTCCTTCACAGAGGTTCACAGAACCTGATCCCACAGTTACATAGTCCAGCTCAGTGGCACTACTGTGTATTATAGTCTAGTATAGTGAAGTCCCACAGCCCTCAAGGCCTGTGCGTATGGAGGGCTTTGGGGCAGTGGCAGAAAACAGAACAGTATGTGTTTGATGTTCTTTTGCTTTATGACTTCAGCTGGCTGCCTCTTTATTAGAGATTCCACAGCACATGCCCGGCTGCCTGGAGATGAGGAGCTCCACCGCCTCACATATTAAATCTCCAGAGCCAGGAGGCACCACGGCACTCCAGCTCTAATGAAGCTATTACAGTGGCGGGGACAGAGAGGCTACCCGGTGTGCTCCCCTCATCAGAGCTACATTACAGAAAGAGGGAAAAAAGACTCAACAGCGGTTAGAGAATGTCAAGCACCTGCTAGCTCTCAGCGGTGGAGACTGAAAATGGCACAGCAGCAACACAGGAGCTCAAAAGGCCATTGTTGAAAGTGTAGTCCATTTGGATGGTCATGGATGAGTTCTTGGCTTCAAGCAGTTCCAGGAATGAGCTTCACCCACTGATATGCAAAGAAAAGGGTCGAAAGAATAGATTGTTATTAAGTTTAAAGCCCATCTTACCAAACGTATCTTCAGCAACACATTCAGAGACTTTGAATTTGTTCTCTATAAATCTGCCTCCATGCGAAAGCCTGACCACACTGGTCATAGTAAACTGGATCAGCATGTGGAATTGAAGCTTTCCTTGTGTTTCTTTGTGCTTCCGATCACTTTGTGACCACTGATGAAAGACTAGAGGATGACCAACACAAACTGTGCAGCAACAGATGAGCTATTGTTTCTTAACTTCACATCCACAACGTGGACCAACAAGGTAGGAGTGTCTAATAGAGTGGACAGTGTGTGGGACACCGTGTTTAAAAACTCCAGCAGCACTGCTGTGTCTGATCCACTCGTACCAGCACAACACACACTACACCACCACGTCAGTGCCACTGCAGTGCTGAAAATGATCCAACACCCAAATGATACCTGCTCTGTGGTGGTCCTGACCACTGGGGGCTAACAAAGTATGCAGAAAAACACAGGACTACAGTCTGTAATAGTAGTTCAGCTTTATGGTCAGTGGAGCTGATAAAATGGACAATGAGTGTAGATACAATGAGGTGTACTTAATGATGTGGCTAGTTTGTGTATATTACATAAACACATTAATTTCTTTAGGTTTACTTGTTCTGGCATAATTGTGTTCATGTAATATATTTTATTTATGAGCAACCACTTTATGCATTTTAATCTAGTCAGTTCAAAGCACCATTTGTTTCAGCACATGAAGTCCAGAACTGACAGGCTGCGATACTGCATAAAATATTTAATCAGGGCCAGCTTGATTTTATGCTTTAAAAGTCTGGCTGACCAATCAAGGCTGCCTTCTCATGGCTGCAGCCTAAGCAAATGTAGTTTGTTCACTCCTTTTTAAAGATCTACTAGCAGAAGCACTGCCTCGTATTCAGGGAATAAGAAACATGAAAATGACTCCAAATATCTCGTTTGTAGAATGAGGTATATAGTGTGTGCACCATTTAGTCGCAGCTTAAAAAAAAATGATAAATTCATTGTATCAAGTACAAAAACAGGCAAAGGGTCATATACAGGCAAATGGTGCAATACAGGCTAAGTCAGAGTGCAAAACACGAGAAAAGGTCACAACATGAAAGAGGCAAACAGAGTCAAAAAGGGGGTCAGGCTAGAACGGTAAACGAGAAAAACGAGCAAGAAAACAAACCGGGAAGTCAAACACTGGAACAAAAGGCTCAGTAATGCACAGGAGACTGATACAATACTTTATACAGAGACTATGGAAACAAACAGGTTATATGGGCACATGAACAGGAGACAGCAATCTATAATCAGGTGAACTGGAACACGGATAGGTAGATGGCTGAGAGTCCGTGGTCATGTGATCCCCCAGAGGATTCTGGGAGTTGGAGTTCTGGATAAAGTGAGGGGTGATAGTCTCCGCTGAAGTGTGACATTCGTCTTCTTCCTGCATTCTCAAAGTGCATCAAACCTGATGGTTCCAGTATGTTAAAAATCGCCGTATGTTAAAAAATTTTGTCTTAAAAACTGCACTATTATAAGCATTATTCATGCAGTTTTTACAGACATCAGTAAATAAATTCAAACACATGTATGAGTTGGCTCGACCACTCACTGTTGTCTTTTGTGTTGGCATGGCAACAACCAAGATGACCAGTTGGCTGTGTCTGAGCAAGTAGAACTTTTTGACAAACGTCAAAAGGATTAGTTTTTTTAAGCTTTGCCACTGGTGATGCTAGCATCTCCTACAGCAGCTCAAAATAAGTTACATATACGAGCTATGTGTGAAAGCACTGATGTAGTTTCCGCTCCTGAACAAAGCTGCGAAAACCTCCATCCTCCTTTCGCTTTTCCAAAATGAAAAGTAAGCTACCCAGTGTGTCGTTTGGCCACAAAGGAGCAAAATAGATCTTTTTGCACTTAATTTTTTTTTCGTTGCACAACCAAAACAGCAAAATTCAAAAAATGTGTCCAGTGTATAAAAAATCTGTCTGAATACTTTGTCTTTTAGTATCACATTTGTGTCACATTCGGTATTTAACAGCCATAACAAAAAGTGGTGAAGTGTAAATTACGTTTCAATGCAGTTTTTTCTGGCTCAGAATGGCAGATTGTGACAAAAATAAGTAAATATTCTATGACTTTGTTACATCACGCTCTTTACTTATCGAATAAATGACAACAGTGTTGAGAAATCACATTAATAAAGAAGAAGAGAAGATTAAAAAGCAGAAACAGAGAGTTTTTTTTTTTTGGCTCAACATTAAAAGGCTGGGGACCAAGTTATTTTCCTGAGCTTAGCTGTATTTGTTTTGCTGAGCAATGTCTGCTTGGCTATGCTGTTTTTTTCTGTCTGTCTTTCATCGTTTTGTGCGCCTGCCTGTCTCTTTCTGAGTCTCATGGGCACCCTTCTTTCTTTCTTGGCTGCGTCCTCATTCTCCTTCCCTTGGCTATTTTCGCAGACTCTAGGGCAGCACTGACTCTGCTGCTCTCCTTAGAAATAGTGGGAAGAGCTGAATAAATAAAGATGCAGACCAATTAGCATCCACAAATGATTTCTTATTAGCACCATCACGCTTGTAATAGAAAAGGAGTATTTCTCAGGGACTCTGTCAGCACCCAGTGACACATGATGGTCTGATGGTCAGACGTTACAAGAGGCTTTAGGCACCGTTGCTTTTATTTTTAGCCTTTTCTTCCAACACAGCATGAAATATCAGGGTCCAGAGACTCACCAGAGACTATCTGCATGTTTCCCTCATTTAATCCATTATTCGGCAGCTCGCCGCAAGCGATAGAGTGTAATTTGATTTTGCGTTCTGTGCTTAATGCATTAATTTGAATAAAGGCAAAATCGTTGTTCACTGTGTTGTGTTGTAAGCATTGCAAAGATAGCAGTGATCTTGATGTGGTGAAGATTTGGAGGGGAAATGTCGTGTTAGCATACAT